AAACCCACATGTTCCTGTTGAAATAAACCACGTAAATCTATTTCTACTGTTGTATTTCTTTCTTGCAACCACACGCTTGTCTATAACATATCTCTCCCACTCTCTTTCATATATATGTATATATATATATATATATTCTAGCATAGTACCCATAAAAAATGGTATGTTTATTTAAATTTGGTTTTTTTTTGTCTTTTTTCTGTTAAATATTTAAAACGCTAGAATTACATGTTGATTTTTTTCTTCTCTTAAAATCTATGTTGCTTTCAGTTGCCAAAAGACATTTTTCATTTAAATCTACCTTGCTCATAAAAATCCAGTAGTTTTAGTATTATTATTTAATATTATTTAAACAAAAATATTTATGACTAATTCAACAAAATGACTGACCCCGTTTAAAATGTAAATTAATTTTATATTAAGTTAACAAACAAAAAAGCAGTAATAGTTAAGAAAATAATGTCTTTACAAGTACCATTTTGAAATCTTCTATTAACTTGATACTTAATTTATCATAATTAAGAAAAAAAGTTATTGGATTTTTTTTCTATGAATTTAATATCCCAATAATAATGAAATTAGTAGTTTTAAAAAAATAACAGTATACACTTTAAACTTGAAAGATATAGTTTTGAAAGAAAGTTTTTTGTCATAAAATTTCAAAGAAAATGTTAAATTTTATTTTCACTCTTTTAAATAGATTTAACATATTTAAGTGATTATTCAAATAATTAAAAACATTAAGACAAACTAAAAAATTTAATATTTCCAATTAGCCCCAAGCGAGTGTGTGGTGTATATCCCTTGCCTATCACGAAGTTGAAGATTTGAATCTCAGCAAGACTTTCTTAATTTTATGTTTACTTTAGTGTAACTACTGCAAAAAAAAAAAAACACCACAAATGTGCTAAACTAACTTTTTTGATCAGCATAAGACACAGGGAAAAAACACTTTCAACTGGGATATCTAAAATAGTATAGTACATCATTGAACATCATTGGACTATAATGTAATATGTGTCTGATATTTTAATAAAAATCAACATTATTATTGAAATGAATATGAAAAGTTACTTTCACTCTTACATTTTTGTATAAATTAGCATTGAATCTATTAATGATAATAACAACATTTATGTAAACAAGTTACAAAATCAACTTTTTGACAAAGAAATATTTTCTGAAACGTAATCTTTACAAGTGGATGTGAAGATAGCATAATGGTTACCAGCACACAAAGTGGAATCCATATACTGCATTCAAATTCAGGTTCTGTTTTGTTATATACTCTTGGAAAAGACATGGATCCATCTTTCAGATATGGGGTAAACTGGGCAGAGCAGACTGGACTCTCCTGTCTTTGGTGGCTGTGAGGAGAAATATAACTTTGAATCCAAATCCCTACTGCATTGTGAGAATGTTATGGGTTTAACCTTACACAAATCTGGAGTGGAGCCTGTAAGACAGTTGGTAACTTCAACAACTATGCTGGTATCAAACTATTTATTTAGTTTTCCTTTTTCCTTTTGACTTGTACCAGCAATGTCAAGAGAGGGCATATTGACAAATGGGCAGGCCAAGATCATCATAGGACTTGTTTAAGCTTAATAGCACTGTGCACTACACAATCATCTATAGAAATGGATGGATAGATGCCAACACAATTTAACCTTAGATTGCAAAAAGTTATTGTGTATATATATATATATATATATATATATATATATATATATATATATATATATAAACTTTCATTGAAAACATTCAACAAAGAAAATTTAATTAATCTTTTATTGAGTTTTCCCAGCAATGTAACATTTTTTTTCTGTTTTTCAGGGGTTAAAGAATATAGGCATTGTCCATAGTTATAATTGTTCTGAGCACTTCTCTAGCTATTATCAAGGATGGTGAAATTCTGTGTGTGGTTGCTCCATAATAATTTTACAGTTTGGAGTTTGAGTGATTTGTATGCTTCTTGGTGGTCATGTGCTATGCACAGCCAGTTGACCAGGGCAAGACTTTTAATTTTAGAACACTTTTAACATGCCGTCTCCTCTGCTAAATAGTGTGAAATTGTTAGTGGGAAAATAAAGTTTAATAAGCAGAACCTTTCTAATGATGAGCTGTCTACAACTATGTGACCTAAAAAAGATCCTTGTATTATCAACTTGAATTTTCCTTAAAGGTTCTTGGAAGTTATGAGTAGTAGTTAATGTTTATTAATCACACCAGGTGGCATGTAAGACGTTTAATCAGTGAAGTAGTGGTGTGTTGACAAGTAACACGGTCTTGTAGAGGGCAATGGAATTGGTACACTATATTGGTCACTGTTAGTTTAGATTTGATGGGGTCATTTCAGTTTGTGATGACAAGTTTTGCGGTCTTCCATTTTCTATAATATATTATGAACTTTGTTTTCTTGGAGTTACAGCAGAAATAAGGTGTTTAATAAATTTCCTTATAGCAAATTCATCTTGCTTATAGTTATTGTGCATCTGGTTACAATAAAATATATATTGTTGTTTGGGAAGAGGAATTTTGTACACTCAATTTACAAAGTTAGTTATCACTGCTATTTTATATCTTTTGGGCCATTGACTATCATAGTTTAGAATACAGGAGTTCATATTAGTTAATTTGTTATACAGCTAAGTGATAAATTCATTGGATTTTAGCTCTATCCCAACATCAGGGAATGGGATCTTATTATGTACCATGGCTTCATAAGTGAATTTTAGTGTTGAGTTTTTCAAAGGATGATTTTAGATTTGGGATTTTATCTGTGTTTTTTATCAAAACAGAAATGTCATCCATGTACCTTGTGTAGATTTCAGGTTTATCATTTGTTTTAAATACTTTGTTTTTGATGTAGGACATGTAAAATTCTGCAAAAGCAAGACCTAAAGGGTTTCCTATGCTAACACCATTAGTTTGGATATATATGTTACCATTATGGCCAGAGAATGGAGCTTGCATGGTGCCTGCAAGGAGTAGTTTCTGGCGGATAGTGGGTCGGATTTTAGGTGGGGGGTAGTGTCGGGTGTTTGTAGACACAGTCACTAATTATATTGATTGTTTCCTCAACAGAGGTTGGTAAAGAGGATTTTGACATCCAATGAGGCCATAGTATAGGATTAACTGCTTTCAGGATGTCATTAGTTGATGCTATACTGTAGTTGTCGGTTGGGTATGGAGAAATTATGTGGTTGAGTGTTTCTCATAGTTGGCATACGGGTGGAGGTATTTGGGATATGATAGGTTGGAGAGGAAAACCTGGTTCATGGGTTTTTAAAGTACCATACATATATCCTGGTTGGTAATCACCAACTATTTTCATGATTTTTAAGCTATCGGCATCTGCATTATTCACTGTGATTAGTTTATTTACATGCTTTTTTAGTGTGTCTGGGATTTTTCTTTAATTTGGTGAATTTAATTGTGTTGTCTAGGATAAGAGCTTTTGGTTTATAGGCTTGTCAGTTGAGAAACACATAATTATTGGTTTTATTATTTATAATGATGTTGGGGTTGTTGTGTAACTCTCTTGCGGCTGACTTGAGTTTGCCTGTAAGTTTGTTGTGTTGGTTGTGCATCAAATGTTTTTTTAAGCCTTCAGCTTTTAAGAAATCTTTTAAGATTGGGTGCACCTTAACTGATTTTTCTGTTGTGAGGCATTGTATAGATTGGTATAGAATTTTGATTTTAGTTTTCTTTTGGAGAGATGCTCATATCTAGGTTGAACGTGACAATTCAGGGCAATATTTAGGAATTTGGCTTGGTTGTTGGTGAGTTTGTGGTCAGACAATTTTAGGAAGTTACATTTACCATTAGGTAGTACAATGTTTCCGTTGTATCAGTTAATTAGTTTTATATATACATATATATATATATATATATATATATATATATACAGGGTGTTGCAGAAAAATCCAACACTTGACAAAAAGAAAACAAAATAAAAAGTTGTATATGCAGAGGCCCAACAGTTTATTTAACAACTGTTAGTTACATACCACATTATTTTTCAATGTAACTGCCGCCTCTAGCAAAGACCATCTCAATGCGGGCACAAAATGAGCCACACCATGTCCTTGTCTATAGCGGTGAACACCTCCATGATGGCAGCCTTCAAAGAGTCAACCATGTTGTGGGCATGCTTGTTGGTCTTGGCCTCAATCACGCCTCAGAAGAAATAGTCAAAGGGGTTGTAGTCGGGTGAGGAGAGCAGCCACAAGTCCAGCGATCAGTGGTGAGGAACATTGTTGAGCAGCCACACCTGGGTCGTCTTAACCATATGTGCATGAGCGGAGTCCTGCTGGAAAACATAGGGGTGTCCGGCAGTGATCTCATCCATCCAGGGCTTCACCACACTCCTCAGCACCTTCTGGTAGAACTCAGTGGTGACTCTTAGGCCCTTTTGAAAGAAGAACGGAGGCATGACATCCCCCTAGCTGGAGATGACATGAAGGACCATGACGAAGGAGGGAAACTTTGTATGCTTCACGATGGGAACCTCCTTGATATCTTTGCAGATCCACCTGTTGTTATGCCTATTGCTCATCAGAGAAGAAAGCATCCCGGCAGACCCATGCTTGAGCTCGTTCAGCAAAGCCACTGCCTTGACCTTCCTAGACCCCTTGGAGGCATTTGTGATGAGCATATGCAGTGAGACTTGCGGCAGGAGAAGTAACCAATATCCTTCTTGATAGTTTGGCTGATCATTGACTTGTGACAGCCCATGTCAGCAGCAATCTTGGCGTAGCTCTGGCTTCCATCACTGTCGACTGTCTCCTTGACAGCAATGACGAACTCGTCAGTCCTAATGGCCAATGAACGAATGTTGTGGGCCTTTCGTTTGGCAGTAAACTTGTCCTTGTTCTCACACGCCTTCCACTTCCTCCAAATGTCCATGACCATCGTCCTCTTGAACCCAAACCAGGCCATCACTTAAGCAGGCTTCTTCCCGGCATGAAAAGAAGCTACTACTGCTTGCTCTTTGCTCATATTCCATCCTAGAAAAGGGTAGAGAGAAAAACGTTAGTTAGTTGTCAAACTGTCGGGTATCTGCATATACAACTTTTGTTTTTATTGCCTATTTTGTTTTCTTTTTGTCAAGTGTCAGATTTTGCTGCAACACTGTGTGTGTGTATATATATATATATATATATATATATATATATATATATATATAAAAGCTTCATCATAGACTAAAATATGGAGAAAAGAAAGAAAGAAATTCTGGTATTTTTACTTTTGTGTTTGATTTTCATTGTTCAGTTATGTAATATGTGCATTTGATTCTTTTAAATCAATGTTAGTATAATTTATGACATTCCAAATTCAAGGAGAAATGACATATCCATCTGAAGTTTCAAGAAAATAATGTATTTCAAGCCTATCTGAAAACTTAAAATATTGCAATATCCATATAATTGTATAAAAATTCTAGTTTCTCTTTGTGGGCATCTGATGATAATCTATATTCATAATTGTGTGCGTATGTATAGTAGACATTATGTTTGTTGGTTTTTCACAGGGTGATTTTTACACACATACTTTTTGTTTTAGATAAACATATGCTAGTTTCTTTAAGAATTGATTTATTAACAGTTGGCAATGAAATATAATTTGATGTGTGTTTATAGTTGGTAATATTGTTATTATTATTATTAGGATCTCAAAGTACTTTCTCCTTAAATAATTACGTTCTTTTTTTAATTAGGGTGGAATTAGTAAAATTAAAGTTATAGCCATTTTCTCCCTGTGTAATACAAGATTTTAAATGATTGTCTAAACATAAATATTTTTGTGTTCATAGACATGGTATATATGTATAATGTCTCCCCTATACAAACTTTTTCATATTTTAAACAATTTATTTGCTAAGTACTGGCATTTGAATTAGTGTTGAATTTATTTTTCTTTCTAATTATATTTCCAATTGTCTTGGATGTGGTGGTAAAGATCCTAGTATTAGTGATAGTAGAAAAAGTGTTAGAGTGTAGGATTATGAATTTTGTGTTGTTTTTGTTAGAAATGTTATTGGTAGTATCTATTTGGGGTGGGGGGTTGTAAGCTTGTTTTCTATCATTGAGGATGAAATGGTGTGGGTAGTGAAGAAGTCTAAATGTTTTCTAAATATATTTCTTTTCTTCACTTAAGTATTCTAGGCTACATATACTAAGGGCTCCGAGGTAGAATCCTAAATCTAATCCTGATTTTATTTTTTGAACAAGATGGGAATAGAATTTAATTAAACAATTTTTGTTAGTGGGTTTATGATAAATTTTAAAGTGTAAGTTTTTATTGTTACATATTAATAAAATGTTGAGGAAAGTTAGAGATTTGTTTATTTAAAATTCATGTGTGAATTAAATGGTAGGTTCAACCTTATTAAGTTTCATTATTATTATGTCTAGTAGATTTATATTATGATGATATAATATCTTAGGTAAGTAGAGCTTTTAGGTATGATCTATGTCACCCCCCTTGAATTTGGAATGCCACAAATTATTGGTTTAAAGAATCGAATGCACATAATACATGATTGACCAATGAAAATCAAACGACACAAAAGTAAAAATATGAGAATTTCTTTCTTTCTTTTTCTCTATATCTCAGTCTCTGATGAAGCTTTAATAAAAGCGAAACATGTTAGATTGATAAAATATTTCCTCTTTATTTGTTATCTTATCATTTTGTCTATATTTGATCCAAATTCATGCACACACACACACACACACAAGTTATTTGTTTAAATTGTAATAACTTGCATATCTTGTGGTTATATAATTTAAAAATAACTTTTTTTTTTTATTTATGATCAAGCAACTATCCTACTGAAATATAGCTCTTTAAGAATAAGTTTACAACTCTATTGAGTGATCAGTTAATATGGAAGTATTTTTAAGAAATTCTTCACATATCAAAACAATATGTAGCTTCAATATAATGTATGAGTGAAAACAATAAAAATGAAAACAGGTTTTTTTATAAAACATTATTTAATTTTAGAATGTTTAGTATATTTATTTTTCTTCAAGGAAAGGGAATTTAATGAATACAGCTATTGAAAGAATTTAATATTTTATTAATGAATAAAATTTTACATTTAAATCTTTAATTTTTCTGAATGTAAAATATTAGTGTCAACATTTGTCTTTGTTAATTCATGCATTTTTCATTCTTGCACATATTTTATTAGAAGGCAAGATGGATTTATAAAACTGCTTCAACTGGTTTGAAGAATTCAAAGAATACAGCAAAATAAATATTTAATATAAATAAGGTATTCTTTGCAAAAAGCATAAGCAATGATTAAAAGTTATTAAAATGTAGTATTATTAAATAATTGAATGATAGTTGCATATAATTCAAAGATGTTTATCAATTAAAACAAAACTGAATAATTATTTACTGGTTTATTAAATGAAATAAATATCTTTTTGGTTTGAAAGAAAATCTCGTGCAAAACCAATAAATAAAAATATATATATAAATTTCATAAGAAGAATGCACATCAAATTTCGGCAACATGATTATTTCCATTGTTAACTACAAGACTGCTCCGAAAGTAATACATCCGATTTATTTCTTTGTAAATTACAAGGGAGTAACATAACACTGTTGAGTAGAGCAAGTTTTTATCTACAAAACATTATTTTTCCATATAGTCACCACCATTGGCTATGCATTTTATTAGCAATAAACAAGAAAGAGCCTGTGTGTGTGCGTGTGTGTGTGTGATGCACTCATAAAAATATGTACCAACAGAGGCTACTTACTTTTTCATACATGTTGTCACTACTGAAATTCATTAAACACAACTGTGTTCACATCACCTGTTTGGTCTTTATAAACATTCAGCATGCATTGATGAATGTCAATGGGTACAATTTTTATACCTGGAGGAATTCAATAATAACCTTTGTACACACTTTCATGTTAGATACCATTTTGCCTAGCTGATATCTGTAACAAGGCAACAAAGGTCTAAGTTATTGGTCGGAACTTGTCCTAGTGCCAACATAGGAGGTATTACTTTCAGAGCAATCTTCTCAATAATTGGCCTACTCAGCAGGTGAACACTAAATGATTATATGCAGACAAGTTTGTCAATAATTTTCTTGTTAATGAATCCATAATTGATAATTGATAAACAGCAGTTATTATTACTATCTCAATTATCAAACTATCAAGATAATAGTGTGCAGTAGGAATTAAGTGAATGCACCAACAATATTTTTATATTCATTTAATTCTGGTCAAGATATCAGCATAGACTGAGTTTTCAAAAAATGGATATCAGATCTAAATAAGCAGTCTAAACCAAAATATATTGCTTAAAAAATTGAATTTTAACAATTTAGTAAGGTCCTATTTTACACACTTTGAAAATACAATTAAATTTCCCAAAGTCCCTAATTTTCATTACTAATCCAAAAAATAACACCAAGATTAATCTTCATTGCATTGAACAAATGTTTTATATTACTCCTCATGTATCAGTTACCACATCTAACCACAGATCCATAAATCGAAAATATTTCTAAAACATAGTTAATATTTTAGAAGATCACTGAATATTTATTAATAAAAGCTGAAAATGTCATAAGGATGACAAAAAAAAACAATGTTTACATCTTCATCTTTAGTTGGAAATGTTAGGAGTAAGGGAGATAATCAAAACATGCGAAAATGAAATTACTTCAAAATAGAACAATCTTTACTCGAAAAAGGCTTTCTCGATTTTGTAAGAAACAGTGCAGAGGCAAATTAAGTTTAAAACATGTAATTTGCATTCATTTTTAAGATAATAGTTATTACCAAAATAAAAGTTAATGTACAACATTTTCCTCTTTCGTCTGATGTCTTAATATTGTAGGATCATAGGGTATCATGTTAGAATATAATAGTAGGATCATATTAGTAACAGATTTTATTTGTATTACACCACAGATTTTACAAGAACCCTTTTATTTATTTTTCTTAATGTGTTGTAATGAATCTAATCCAGCATTGTGAAGAAAAACTTTCACTTCTATACTCTATTCATGAGAATTATCTGCAATTTAGAAGAATGACCAGAACAGTAATTTTTTTTATCCTGGAATTAGAATTGGTTTATCTGATTAATACTAAATAAATGAAGTACTCAAGCACTTTTATAAATAAAACCTGGCATTCTTTGGAGATTTGATTCCTCTTAGAACACACTTCAATGTTAATATCTTCAGTTTTTATTTTCAAGGTGTCATTGGCCATCTCTGCATGGTCACTTTCTCCCAAAGAAACAAGCATTTTGTAGTGGATGAAAACATTTGTCACCATAAAGGAGACATTTGAGATTAGTAGTATTTTATTAGCAGATATTTCTTTAATGCATGTCTTAATTTATATATTTAGCAAACTCTGAAATTCAAATTATTAAATAGGATTTGTTTTGGTGATTCTTCATTATCAGTACAATGTCACAATTCTTTCATTTATAAAATATTTTCAAATATTAGCACAATCAGGAGAGTAGCTTTATATATATATATATATATATAAAATTAATGGATTTATTTTAATCAGACGTTTTTATTACTTCTACTAATATATGTGTGTGTATAAATTTCTTTTATAAAACCTAGCAAGTATAATTTGGCCCAGAGATTTAGTCTATACTTTTCTAAATACTCTGATAATTCTGAAGTTAGAAATTGAATATTCTTTAATGAATTTAACATTATTTTCCCTTGTTATTTTATGTTTTTTTTAAAAAATATTTTCAATTTAACATTAAACTACAAGCATTCATGTAGTAGTAGATTTAGATGATACTTGAATTTGCATCTAATACTTCTGGAACTCTTCTTCCATGCCAATTAGGCTCCCAAATCTGTTGTGTTTAGTTCTCATCTCTAGCTTTTCTGTTAACTTTATTATACAAGGAATAATAAAAAATCAACAGCAAAGAAAATGAAGAAACTTACTCAAAATTAATTATACATGTGATAATGAAAATACTTTATCTCAGAATCTCAAAATGTACTATTACTTTTATATAATCAAGAATACAATATGAAATAGATTTAGAGAAGAGATGAGGGTGGTAGAAAAACTGCAGATAAGTCCTCTGCCTAATCATGACAGCTTTGATAGCATCATTTCTTAAGCCAATGTCCAGAAATAAAATTACTCCTTTATCCCAAATTCCCACTGTTTAATAGCTGAAGAATGGATCAGATAAAAGCAAAAAAAAAAAAAAAAACACAGAAGCTAAAACTCATTACAATAAAAATGTATGTAATAATGAAAATAGTTAATTTCAACAAAAGCATTTCATTAATGCATATTTATGATTTAAGAAGAGTTGAGTGTACTTTAGAGGAAGCATATAAATGTCCAGTATATGAATAGTTAAACCACTTGGATATCACAAATTTTACAAGATTGATAAAAGAGCTATTGTTTGTTTTCTGAAATCTAGATTTTTCCTTATCACAGGGTAATAGCCCATGTAGCTTTCAATCCAGTGCTCTGTCATCAAAATTTAAGGAAGAGTATTTCAATCTGTGAAAGAAATGTTTTCTTTCTAATCATCTTCATTATTCCTGATGCTTATTGGGTTGAACAAACACATTATCTGACAGACTTCTATATGTTGAAGTGAATGCATGAAAAGGCAATTCTACTGGACAATTGTTTTGTCATTTTGTTGTAGGTAGGGGATCTTTTCATATTAGTTTCTTTCAAAAAATAAAAATGCTCTGGTGACTTCTGGACATTGATGGGTAGTATATAAAAGTATATGGTATTAAAATGTAAGTATTAAAATTAAGTATTATGTAATGAATGAAAGAAAAAAACAAAAGGCATATTCTTTATAGTTGATAAAGCTGTATCTACAATGTTGTCAGTTTCAATGTACAGAGTCAAAAACAAGAACATGGTTAATGCTTGATAGAAAGGGAATCTTTTATTTCAAATACATAATGATGTATCCTTTCTATGTTGTCAGCACTGCTTCTATGATTAGACTATGGTACAAAGATACAGAGGGAATAAAATGAAATTATAGATGATGTTATCAATTCATGTTGCATCCAAGTCTTTTGCTGGAACTAATGAAATTGGATAGGGTGTATCATTTACTTTATGATTAAGTCCACTTGACTCAATTTTAAAACTTTGGTTATCAATACTTTCTAATTCATCAGTTAGTTTCAATTGTTTGGGAGGAGAGGGACTTGTGACATCATCACTTTCACAATAAGAACGTGGCTGCCAAGGTTCTGATAAATCGTCACGTACAAAAACTTGTGTTTGAGATTGTCTTGATGGTAAAGAGGATAGGAAATCTTTCTCATGGTATCTTGTCATACTTACTGGACTTGATGGCTCTTGTTTTACATTACTAGTGACAATAGTATAATCTGAGTCAGAGTCTGATGGACTAATAGTAACACATGACCTCTCCTCTGGGGATAATTTCAGGCCAGGTGTAGGTGACTGATTACTGGAATAAGGAAGCTGATGATCATTAGAACTTGTAGATAAGATTTGTAAATGTTGAACAGGTCTTGATACTGTTTGTGTGATATCTCCACTTGGAAGGCTGAAGAAAGACACTCCACTTGATGTAGGTGCTGATGTGACAGATGGCTGTAAAGGGTCCAAATTAATGGCAATATCTGTTGTACTACTGTTATTTACAATAGATGCCTGTGACAGTGAGGTGTTGTTGGGAAGGTTGACTTGGTTGCGATATAAACTGCACATATCCTGTAAGTCTTGTAAGTTTAGGATTTTAGAGATACGCTCCATATCCTCAAGCACATCCACATTTAGAGAAACAACTCCTTCATACATATATTTGGCAAATGCCCATAATGCATCACCACCAATTTCCTGTGGAAATGTCAACTGGAAACATCCTGAAGTCAGATCTGTATTTGGTAAACTGAGTAACTGAGGGCTGAGAGCCACCAATACAATTTTGTGCACCTAGAAAACAAAAAAAAAAGATTATGGCATATGTTATTGTTGCAAGTTAAATTACAAAGTTATGAATGAAAATTTCATTTGGTTAGATATCTAAATAATATATTGAGAATGAAAAATCATTATTGGATATTGCCAATCAAAGATAAATGAATATTAGCAAGAGTAAAAATGTTTTATTTTGTTTTTTTTTTATAAAGCCAGAAAATATTTTTAGAGTGTAATTTTTTTTTTTAGATAGTAATTATTTTTAGTGATACAAGTCTTTGATTGACCCATAGCTGGGGGAGAAGAGGTGAATTCTTTCCTTTCGCAAGGGTATTTGTGCATAAGTGAATATAATGAAACCAACTGGAATTAGAACTCACCTCTCCGATTTACAAGTTAGAGCCATTATTCATTACACCACCCACACATTTTGGCTTACAGCACCTGGTATTCCAATGTGGTCACCCATCTAGGTACTAACTAAGCTTGAAGTTTCTTAACTTCAGTGATCGTTTGGAAACCAATAAGCCTAAGAGTGAAAATGCTGCATGATCTAAACATACTTGCTTTAGTTTTCTAGAGTCAAAAGAAGTTCACTATTTACATTATTTGGACTATTGTCTTCATCTTTGTCGCCATATCTATTACAACGTTTCGGCCGTTGTATGCTCCAGCCTTCTTCAGGCGTTTGGAACGTTGAACTGAACCCTCAAAGACATATGGCACAGTGGATAAAGGCGTTGGTTAGATCCAGTGACAGGGCCCAAAGAGCACGAGTTCAATATCTGGTTAAAGCAGTAGAGAACTTGGAGAGGGAAATTAACAGGAGATAACTGATATCCATTAAACATGGCATGTGGAACTAGAACAGTCTACCCCAGTGAGCGAAATAAAGGGTTCAGTTCAACATTCCAACCACCTCAAGAAGGCTGGAACGTACAACGGCCAAAACGTTGTAATAAATATGGCGACAAAGATGAGGACAATAGTCCGAATAATGTAAATAGTGTACATAATACCTCATCTCAGAAATATTGACAGATATCGAAAGAAGTTTTTTTAGCAGAAGTACACAACAAAGATTAAGAAACACTGAAACTGAATGAATGATGTTTACAACAAAAATGATAATCCTACTGACCATAATCTTCATAGTTCCATTTCCTATAGTTGCATCACACAGCTTTCCTTTTTTCCACAAATCTGCCATATTGGACAGCATGCTTCCCTGGTGCTTATGGATCACATAAGAATGTGTAGGGGTGTCCACAGCTTTCCTTATAGTTTTAGCAACATTTCGATCCCTGAAGAAAAAGAAAGAAGAAAATGCAATTTTGAATTAATCACAATAGTATGAAATTTTAATTATTATTGTTATTATTTTAAGGAAACTGCATTTGGGGAATAAGTCATCATATTGTTAAGTTTTAATTATTAGTAGTACTAATTTTTCTTCTAAACATACATTTTCCAATTAACTTCACGTTGCAAATTCTCTATGATCTGTTACATCTAAAGAGAATTTAAAAACAAAATTTTAAAAAATCTTAAAACAAAGTACAGTAAATATTGTACTATTTTCCTTTATTTTTCAATTTTGTTGGATTAATGTCATTTTGTGGTTTCATTTGTCCAGAGATAATTGATATTCAACTGTATATGATTTAATTAAAGTTGAATATAGCTGTCACAATCCTTGCAGTATAATTATAATCATTTATCACTAACAAATATACCAGTTCTGTTTTGTTTGTAATAAATCTACAGGAGATTATATTCTTTTGTGTTCCCATACTTCACTGGTACTTAGATTATTTTATCTTGTGATTATGCATTTGATATTAATTTACAATTAGAAGTAAATGCAAATTAGTTTTAAGAAATTGTGTTTGAACTTAATAAAACCTTGATACTTGAGCTGCAGATAAAATCAACTGAGTTTGTAACCTTTGGATTATTGGTCAAACAAATGAATAAAACAAGAGTTTAATTTTTTAATATATTCCTGTAAACATATGTTGTTTACCAGCAATTATGTGATACACTAATATTATAGGACACAAATTATCAACTAAAAATTAAGTTATACTTCTGTGAGATCATCATAGTAAATTGTACCTATTCAATTATATAGGTAATTGAATTTACTGTATTTTCTGTATAATACTGTGAATATAGTTAATTTTCATATCTGTACAAATCTAGTATGATAGGCTACCAAAGTAGATATAATTGAATATAAACAATCTCATTTTATAAGATAAAATATGAAAATAACCTTTCTAAAAAAAAAAAAACATTAATGACATTTAACTTTAATAAAACCACTAAATGTTAAATTATGAACTATACTGCAATATTTTCCCATAAATAACATAAACAAAGTTTTAGATTTTACCAACTGTTGAATCTAAATAAGTATTTCTATTCAAAGAAAGGACAAAGAAACTCATTACTGTCAAAAATGCATTTTAGCGACGTTCAAATAAATTCAATTACAGTTTTTATAATTCACAAATTGCATATTAACATTTACGCATTATTTCAAAACTAGTTTTCATTTATAAATCAAAAACTTTTATATAATGAAATTATTCTATGAAAAAATAAATTTTAAGTATATCAGAAAATGAATGAATCGGCTTTTTATAAAAATTAATTCCTATAATTTGCAAAATTGAACCTCAATATACATTAGCAATTTAAAATAGGAGTTGCCTCCCTTGGACTGTTTTCAGCATTTTGCAATAAACCTACATTTATGAGTTGACTAAAATAAAATTATCAAAACTTTAATTAATAAAGCAGCAACTTAATTTTAAAATTAAAACTTGCTTTTTGTTTTTAGATTATTTTACAAAAATAAATAAAAATAATTAAACTGTTCATTAAAATGCAAAAAATCTGAAAATAAAATTTTGTATTAGCAGGAATTGGGGTGGGAAGCAATTACCTAAAATTTCAATTATAAATGTTTACTTGAAAAATACAGATTTTTCTTTTTATTGATATTTGAAAAAAAATTAATGTTGCTAAAACATTATTTTTTTTTTAAAGTAAGTAATTTGGTTCTATGAAAAAATTTTCAATGAAATTTCCAAGTAGCATTTTTTTTCTTTCATCATTATTATCATGAATGTGCTTACGTGAATGTATCGGCACATGAATGAACATCTGTAATCATGAAAGTTGTCTGAGGAGTTTCTTCTTCTTCTTCGTCCAGATCAACACTGTCATTTCTTGATTCCTGATGTCGAATATTAACTATTGGTGTCTTAACAGTCGGCATTATATCATCCCTGTTTCTTCTCGTCCCTATCACTCGACGCGCCGAAGTTTTACTTTTTTTTAAAGCATTCAGTTGTTGATGTCTACTACTACTATTTGAAGAAATATTAGAGTTTGTCCAACCTTTTTGAGATTGTTTCAATGATGCATCATCTCTAACATGTCTGGGGAGAAGAGCACGTGTCCTGGAACTAACGTTAGCATTGGAATTTTTTTTCTTAGTTTGTGGAAAGCAAATCGAAGTTTTCGCAGAAGGTTGTTTAAGTTCTCGCATGTTATTCATCATCCTGCGATGAGCCAAATTGCTAGTGATAGCATTTCTTTTCAATGAAGAATTATTGTTTAGTATTTTTGTATTATTATACGCAGAATTAGTTCTTTCTTGTTCATCTCCGGCAATATTACTTAAGATAGATGCCATTTTCTTCCTTTGAATGACCGAAGTGGAATGTCCATAATTTTCGAGACCGGAGTCTGAACGGCGCTGACTAATTGATCGGACCTCTTTTTTATTGATTCCACTCCAGATCAATTTCTCTATAGCTGTAGCCCGGAGACTGTGATTAGTGTATCGTTTAGAAAGGTTAGCGTTATGACTGAGGGTTGGCATCATTCCTCCCAAAGGAGTTTTACCGTAGGGAACCCGATCAAACCAATACGGTTGACTAGCATCGACGATTTTCTTGGGTTTTTGAAACAATCTATCCATTTCTTTGTGTAGTTTGGAAATGTAAAGTTCAAAAGCCCGAACGGGACAAAGGACATCACCTTTAATGGCCGGAATCAAACCACCGGACACTTCTTCTTCGCTCTCTCCATTCCCATGGTTCAAAAGTTCCGATTCGTTTTGAACGATGCTTTTTTCTCCTTGAGCATCAGTTCGAATAACAAATGAAGTTATTTTTAATTCTGTCTGACCATCTCTGCCTAACCGGCACATGTAATACTGCAAAATAAACCAAACATATTCTAAAAGCTCCCGGGGTGTCGGATTTTGCATATTGTTTTTAAAATACTCTTTGAGCCGTGACATATCTTCTTCTTCGACAGGCGGATAGTGCCGGATCAGACCTTTGCCTTCTGCTTTGATCCGCTTCTCCATAAAAAAAAATGCTTCATTCGCTTGAGCAAATGCCTTATCTTTGATAATGTCTACTTTGAGTGTCTCTTCAAAATGTCTTTTTAATGCATAGCGAAGAGAACGGAAAGCCGTTAGCTGATAAAGTTCGCATTTTTTGGTACGTGCGCCGGCATATAATCTCTTTAACGCCTGACATAATGTTGGTACGTTAACACTCGCAGTCACTACAGAGATGCCAACTTCATGGCAAAAATCAGTGAATACCCTCACTCCCCATTGAGTACTATCTTTTGTTTTTTGACAGTGACGATCTTCCCCAGATGTATTGTCGATAACTGCCGAACGACGAGACACTTTGTGAAATTCGTCCGACGCCATCTTGTTCTCTTGTCCCAATAACAACGCGAGCACACACACACACGCTTAATACATATTCAATAAAATGGATTTTTTCTCATAGTGCAGAAATTTTCCAATAGTGTAGGGCTGGTCACTTTTCAATAATAACATCCAATGTTATATATAGAAACAACAGAAAAGTATTTTGTTTGTTTTTGCTTTTCCCCCGGTTGTTTTGTTTCTCGTTATTTTGTGATGATTATTAGAGACGATTTTCGGATTCGAAGTTTATACGAAATGTTTAGCGAGGCTAGCAGTGCTCCATGGAGGTTGGTGGTAGGAGTCAGTCGGCCAGCCGAGCTAATAATAGCTGATTATAACTAGACAACACTGGCTTCTTCTTCGTCATCGCCCCCTTACTCTTTCTGTTTCTACTACCCGTTTCTCTCTTCCAACAGCTTTTTGCTTGAGCTACAAGCACCACTCATAACAACAGCAGGAGAACGAACAAGGTAGACATAACTGTTGTAGAATAGAAGGCAAGGTGGGAGGACACCGTTAATCTTTCTTGTTTTTTTTTTTTTTAAAGAAACAGCGACTAGTGATTGATTCACTTTTGTTATTTTAATTGTTAATGCTGAAAGTAGAAATATTTAGCTTATATAGCTGTCATATTTTCAATTTTGATTTAGTTACAAACAAGTGTCAATATTGTTTAGTGAAGAAAGATGTATGCTCCAATAATGCCAGTCAATTTATTAGAAAATTTAAAAACACTTAGTCTAACAGCGTTTGTCTTTGAATGTATGGTTGCACGTCAAAACTGAACGGTTAAAGTTTTTTGTTTATAAACTAAACAAAGATTTTTGATGACTTCGCTTTAAAAATAAATTAACCTTGAAAATAATTTAATCTCCGTATTTAAAATTAAACACATTTAATTTTGTTTTTTAACATTAACAATAGTTTCCTTTTAAAGATTTTGTAATTTCGTCATCGTTGCTAATTTGTTTCTTTTAATCACGAAGTAATGAAAATGACAGAATCTCTTTTAAAAGTTATTACAAAATTTCTAAACATAAAATGTAAAAAAAAAACAAAAAAAAAACACTTGAGTTTTTGTTTAATTTTTTTTTTAAATCCTCACATTGATCAGAGGCTCATGAATCTTGCTCTGGCCAAAAAAGTGATAAAGTGCGTAAAGTATTCTCGAGAAGCGAAAACATTTCTTAAATTTCCCAATGTAAACAAATGGTCAACAAAACAAAAACATTTCTTGTAGGTGTCTTTGGTAATTAATTTTGTGAAAGAATTTAAACCTAAATGAATAAGTGTTGTTTTTTTTTTAACTGAACACATGAAGTCACAAAATATGTGAAAATAAAAGAGATGATAATTTTAAAAAATTGTGCAGGGTTCCCACAAAACTGTAAAAAAAAAAAAATTCCAGGACTATATTAAGAATTTTCAAGGACTGAAACTGGCGCACGCACACACACACACACACAATGTTCATCAATTTCAAAAACACAAACTTTGTGTGTGATTTATCTTGTAATAGTTTGACAGGTGAGATGTTCAAAGAAAAGCTACAGC